ATATTCACATTACAATTTCCAATCTCTCTTCTTTTAAACAATTTCTAAATATAAAGGATTAATTCTATTCCTAACACCATGTTTACAGTCTGATGGACAGACAAACATGAGGCTGATTCTTATTCTATTCAAGTTACGGCTGGAATCGTACACATAGTGTTCAAGAGGGAATTCACTTTCTTTACTTGACATGTCCAGACATTAATCTTCCTGACAAAATAACAAGCTACAGCGGCGCCAGGGTTTAAAATGAGCGCGGAGTAACGCAAGCGCAGGCTTTTATTTAGACGACCGTGCCGAACTTCATGAAGCTGCCCCATCGCTGTGATGACCATTTATCAGTGGAGAGACGCAGTGGCGAGTGTGCATACGCACCGCTGAGCCTTCTGCTCCGCACGCTCACGTGGACGGTCCCAGTGAGGCAGCAATCTCCTAATTTGGAAAAGGTGAGCAGGATGGTGTCATAAGTGGCTCTAGCAGCTATACAAGTCCTTTTCCCTTAAAAGTGATGTTTTTCACGCGTTACATGTTAAATGGTTAGTTCACCCAAAAGTGAAAATGCTATCTTAATTTAGTCCCCCTTGTGTTCTTACAAACCAAACAAAAATTATGACTTCCATTGTATGTACAAAAACAGACATTTCTGAAAATATCTTCTTTTATGCTCCACAGACAGTCATCGGTGGAACGAAAGGAGGATTTAAATTGTTGGATGAAGAAACCTTTAAAATCTCTTATCCCATCTTAATATGCACAACTAGAAGTTTGACAACTAGAAGTACACACTTGAATATGACAACTATAAGTAAACTATTCATAAGTTAAAGGTAGAGTAGCCAATTTGTTTCATAAACACTTTTTGTTATACTGGTGGCAACTCTCTTTGCATCCTGATAGCAATCAATAATGGAAGTGGTCTAAATATTAAAACATGTATCTTCTGTGGAAGTCTCAGGACCAAACAATGTTCGTCCAATCATTGCATTAGGTCCGAATGCAATGATATGATGTCCTCTGCCAGTCAACATATGTATTTCCAAACCTCCGCACACCCTGCTCGCTCACACATCATCAGCGCGTTCAATGACGCTATGCAGAGTTAAAGACGATCGCCACAAAGGAACAGCAGCCGCCTTTTACAGTTCCTCTTGAACCAAAACAACGAGCGTATGCTGTGTTCACGCCGTGTCGTAACCGTAATTACGCGATAGCACCCAGTGACCTTCTACCCGGAGCTGTTCACGTTCTCAGACTCGGATTTATGCGTTTCTATGTCAACACTATCACTGCTGAAATGAATCTGCAGCAGTCCGGTGGTACAAGTAAGAGCTCTGTTGTTTAAGTTCATTATTATTGTAATGTTATGTGCTTTGAGACATCTTTGTAAACTCTACTCTGCGCATTCATGTCTTCTGGATGAGGCGTGGCTTTGGAGAGCGCTCTGAAGGGAGGGTGGGATATTATGCTTTCAAAGCTAACTTGCTATTGCTAGCCTCTCTGAAATTGCCTACCTTACCTTTAAACAAAAAGTGGGTGGGGCCATATGTTTGCCAGACCAATGGCAGACAAGAAGAGTGTTCAAGAAGCCAGTGTTTACAATGAAGATCTTATTCAGAGTTCCAGTTTTAAAAAATAATACTGTAACGAATGCAAATAATGAGTTAGTTCTTTTTAATGAATCAAAAACACTAATTCTAAATTAGTCATTTATAAAATTAATACAAACGTTTAGTATTGTTATTTAATATATAGATAAGGTCAATTATTACCACCTGTAAAAAGTGCGAAAAGTCTGTGTACACACCTTTTGCAGAAACAGTTTGAATATATTTTGCATTACACAATTTTAATAATTTTTTAGTTTTCAATGTTTTTTTTTTTTTTTTTTTCGTTTTTAGGGTGACTCTATAACATTCTGTCCAGAGACTACAGATGAAAATGGCTAATTCTGGTGCATTTCCAAAAATGTGCATTGACCCTGATAAATAGCCAAATAAGTAAACTAATAAATACATAAAACTTATTTCTGCCCAATATGTATTTCCTAATTACACAATTGTTAATAGAGGAATAAGAACTGGAATCACTGAATCCTTTATGTAACACTTTCCAATGAGGCTCAATTAGTTAACATTGTAACTAACAACTTACAGTATTTATTAACCTTTTGTTAATGTTAGTTAATAAAAAACTCAGTGTTAGTTCAGCTTAGCCCAGGTCCATTAAATAATATGAACAGAAAACCTTTTTTAATTAAGGTTAAAATTAACATTTATCTAAGATTAATACATGCTTTAGATGCATTTTTCATTGTTAGTTCATGTTAAATAATGTAGTTAACTAATGTTAAAAAGGAACCTTGTTGTAAAGTGTTACCATTCTTTACAACTCCCATCCCTATTTAGGAATGTGTAACTGTACTGATGGTGATGTCATCAGGACTTTATTGTCTTCGTTTCATTTAAGCAATAATGCGTAAATAATTGGTCTCTTGCTCTGATAGACACAATGCATCCATCATAAATGACTTTTTACTCTCTTTTTTTAACCTCACACATTTTAATTGAATTCTCACCCTGACATGAGCTATTAGATCTTATTTGCTCCTCATTAGTGTGACTTATTAAAACATATGAAAGTGGCCTGTCTGCTTCATCTTCCTTGAACAGAGACGAGTGTTTGATCTAGAGTTAATAAGAACATATACACAAGTACACTGATCTATGTGTCTTTTTTGCTGCTTGAGGTCTAGATCTCTGCAGGTTGTGATTAATCAGGCCTGGCGGGCTGAGCTCACCGCTCAACTAAGACTGTCTGGCAGAAGCGCTGTGCCAGCAGCTCTCCATCAATGGGGGGTAGGGGGGATGATGCGATAGGATTGGGGGATTGTGGGACAGTGTGACTGGCTGTAGGGAGAGCAGACACAGTCAAATCATTTAATGTCACATGGCACCCGTGACACTACGCCCTTAGAGAATCCCTCAGGTTCTGATTCTAAAACTGAGAGGCCCAGTCAGAATAAGTCACACTAGTTTATCACTGGGCATTTTTTTAGGATGAGGACTTTTCTGTTTGCATTTGCACCACAGATAAAGACAATGTCACCGTTTACAATTTGAGTGCACGTACTTAAAGGGAAAGTTCACTCAAAAATGAAATCACCAATCCTGTATGACTATCTTTCTTTGGCATAACATAAAAGAAGATAATTTGAAGAATGTAGGGAGCGAAACAACGCTGGACACTGCTGACTTTAACTGAATCTGGGAAAACACTGAGGCATTTTTCAAAATGTTTCACAGAATAAAAAAAATTGAACGACATTATTCTTTTTTCGGTGAAAATCTGTTTATATATATATTTATTTATTTTTTTAAATAAAATTTACTAAAATACTAAAACTTTATTAACACCAAGTTTTATTTATATTTTGAAACCTAGATTTTTCATGTAGTTTAAGAATCCACTGTTCATGACGATTTGAAAAAAAGAAAGAATCTCAGACGAAAAAGGACTCACTCACAACATTTGCCGAACAAGCATAAAAAGTAAATGTCCAGTTAAGACAGACAATTAATGGACCATTAAAATTCATTCCAACATAGAACCTCTTTCTAGGCTCCATTTTAGAGAGTCCTCGAAATGTGAGGCAGGCCCCACAGGCACATTATCGTGAACTGAGGGAATTCTGGGAAATTTTAGATATTTATTTAGCCCATGTGAGCGTTTATTAAAAGCCTAGATGCGTGTTGTTATTTATGCATGTTTGTGTCCATTAGAGACTTCTTCTCCATCCCTCTATTTTAGCCATCCTGTCCATCCATCTCTTCAGGACAACCTGTTTCCTGCAGTGCATTATTTTAATCTTCTGCCTCCTTCCTGAAAAAGGAAAACGTGCTATTTTACATGCACTCAAATTTATAACCTATCATTTTTTAGTCAGGCATTAGAGAAGGCACCTCATCTAAGATTTATGACTGACGGTTTCCCCCTTCCACCCCTCAATCTAATGGTATAAAAGAGACAATGTTTTAAACATTAAAATGAAAACCATTTACAACTATGATCAAAAGAGAACATTTGTGCATTAAAGTTTAAAAGCCGAGGAGAAGTATGGACGTGCGGACGGAAGGAAAGAGGAGGGGGAGAGATAGAGGTAAAGAGGAGAAGACACAAGCATAGCGAATACTCCTACTGAAAGAAGAAAGAGCCTTAAAGTGCTTTTGCGCTTCGTTGCAAAACGCTGACCTGTAATGAATGTGAACTACTTTCCCCGCCTATATCGCTCTGATCCTCCTGTCCTCGGCCTTTCCGAGCACTTTTCCCAGGTATATCTTAAACGTGTGCTGTTTGGATGGGGTGATGGTACTTTTGAGATGGCACAACTTTTATGAGTCCCAAAAAAACAACAAACTGTCGAAGACCGAATGCTGTATACCACACAACGTTTTCATGATAGGCTATCCCCATTGAATTTGACTTCACAGGTTCTGATGGTACTTTTTAACTCTTTCTTTAATATGGGTGTTCGTTTAAAGGGATAGTTCACATAAAAATTAAAATTAGCCCATGTTTTAATCACCCTCAAGTCATCGTAGATGTACGTATGTGACATTCTTCTTTCAAAGGAATACAATCTGAGTTATATTAAAAAATGTCCTGGCTTTTCCAAAATGTATAATGGCAGTGAATGGCGGTTTCTGTTTTAAGTCCATAAAAGTGCATCCATCCATCATAAAAGTGCTCCACACGGCTCCGGGGGTTAATAAAGGCCCCTTTAAATTATTCTTTCGGTTTATAGATTAAACAGATAAATAAATAAACAACAAAAAGCGAAATAAATTATATGTATATGACCCGAGACTCAAACTTAACACAGCATCTGCATTTGATGACCAGAAGTTAAAGAATTAAAGTAGACTTAAATAAACAGCATTATTTATATAATTCTCAATAAATAAATAAACAATCAAACTAATTTAATCAATAAGTATTCATACCTTGCAGATTTTGTAGAGGGAGTGTCATGATGCCACCCGCAGCAGCAGCGGCCACCAGGCCCTGTATGTTGGCAGCAGTGGGCAGAGAGAGTACCAGGCCCTGCTGTCCACCCAGATGCCCACCAGCGTTAAAGGGAATCAGAATGGGCTGGTTCAGACCCGGAGCTCCACCGGACATCACTCCGCTAACTGCCGACGCCAGCTGCTGAGCAACCAGTAGAGACTGAAAGAGAAGTTTAAAAGGAACTTTTTCAATGTAGGATGTATACATACCAAAATCAAGCTCATTTGGAGATTCTGTCATTTGGCCAAAATCTCTTTCATAAAAGAAGAAAGTGAAGGCTATTTAAAGGAGTAGTTCACTTTAAAAAAAACTTTTGCTGATCATTTACTCCCCATGTCATCCAAGATGTCCATGTCTTTCTTTCTTCAGTCGAAAAGAAATTAAGGTTTTTGATGAAAACATTCCAGGATTTTTCTCCATATAATGCACTTTACTGGGTACCAAACGGTCCAAGGTCCAAAAGACAGTTTCAGTGCAAACTGTTCAAAGGGCTTTAAACGATTCCAGACGATGAATAAGGGTCTTATCAAGCGAAACAATCGTCATTTAAAAAATAAATAACAAAGTTTAAGTTTTATAAGCTCAAATGCCCGCCTTGCTCTGTTCTGTGATGCACGTTCGTGACTCTCCTGTTCGAACTCTTTCATCAAAATGAACAAATCTTTTTTCGAGTCATTTGATTCATTTAACGACCGAAATGAACGAATTGACTCGGAAAAAGATTTGTTCATTTTGATGAACGAGTTCGAACAGGAGAGTTACACAGAACAGAGCGAGGCGAGCATGTGAGCTTATAAAACTTAAACTTTGTTGTTGTTTTTTTAAATGAGCGATCGTTTCGCTTGATAAGACCCTTATTCATCGTCTGGTGTCATTTAAAACCATTTGAACAGTTTGCAGTTTGCACTGAAACTGTCATTTGGACCTTGAACCGTTTGGTGCCCAGTAAAGTGCATTATATGGAGAAAAATCCTGGAATGTTTTCATCAAAAACCTTAATTTCTTTTCGACTGAAGAAAGAAAGACATGAACATCTTGGATGACATGGGGATGAGTAAATTATCAGCAAAAGTTTTTTTAAAAGTGAACTAATCCTTTAAGACAGTATTGGCTATGACTTGAAGACAAAGCTAGACTAAGACATACTCCTCCGCTCCTTAAATAGATAAAACATTAGCCTATATATATATATATATATATATATATATAGGGCCAGATTTACTAAACAGGGCAAATTAGCATCAGAGAGCAATCCCATAAAAGCGCAGATGGGAGTGAAAGTTCACATGAACATGAACACATTAAATAACACAGACACAGCCAGATAATTTCTATAATGACCAACGCAATCTACCAAGAGCAGTGCAAATTAGCGTCTATTTTTTGGGGGCATTAAATAATGGCGCAAATACCAGTAAATTGACTCGCGCAAACCTTAGTAAATCACATTGCGTGATTCGTTTAAATTTTCACTGCATGTCTTCAGTAAATCCTGCCAGTAGTTTTGTTCAGTAGGGTTTGCGCTGGTGCAAGCTGTTAGTAAATCTGGCCCATAGTGTTTCTTGAGTAAACGCTATACTTATTCAAACAGACTGTTCTTTATTTACTTCTGCACTACAAATTGACAGAGATGATGCAACATGTGTGCACCACTTAATTCAAGTTTGAGGAACCGATGGAGTTACGAGGTTTAGTCACAAGCTGTTTTTAATACTTTTCATTGGTTAAATATTTGCAAAACCCACAAAAAGACATAAAGGGTGACCAATGGTAATGATTTATGGACAGAAAAAATTAAAATGATGAAGTATGGAGACATACTGCTCCTTCCTACATGTCAGCAATTTCTCTCTCTCTCTCTCTCTCTCTCTCTCTCTCTCTCTCTCTCTCTCTCTCTCTCTCTCTCTCTCTCTCTCTCTCTCTCTCTCTCTCTCTCTCTCATTTTTACACATTGGCTACATTATCATCGCTCCCATTAGTATTCATTGCTGCTTCTTTGGCTTGATCTTGTACAGTCAACCTGAATTACTGAAGACTTTTCCATTTAAGTCAGATTATTCAAGCATTGTTTCCTCAGTGATGAGTTTGTGTACTGACAGCACTGTAATTTCTCAAAACTCTGTAGAGCTCCACAGATGAATGAAAACTACAGGTTCGGATCAACATGAATTTTAATTTGGGTAATTTAAATTTAAGTAGAAGGCCAAAAACATTCCTGGTTGAAGCAATTTTCCTAATTTTTGAACACAAAGAAAAAAAGAATGGAATGACATGGAATAGAATGACTTTAAAAGATACGTGGTGGCATTATTCAAACATTAAAAACTAACATTTTTGGTTTGGGAGGTTCTAGAGAAACCTTTCTAACTGAAAGCGGTTCACTGATGCATTTGACTTCTGTGTGATAAGACAAGGCTTTACTCGTTGCTTTAACATTTCATTTAAAACAAACATCTCAAATCCAATGGTAGGCTAATCAGCATAAAACAACACTTTTAAATATTCTTTCTCCATCTAAATGGAAAAAACAAACAGACAAAAAGAATTAGTCAAAAAGACAAAAAAACATCTTTCATATGGATCTACTGAGAGATGTCATTTGTCATTTCATTCATTTTAAACATTGACATAAAAAGTGCAAAAAAATCAATTAACCAGTCAGTGGATGACAACAAAGACTCTTCTGACATAGCTGTGTGACATATGCTTAATCTTGCTGTTTTAAGTGTGTGTGATGTCGGTTATTTGAGGCACAAAATCAAAGATTGTCAGCCAGCATCTCATCTCTATCTCAAAGCGAATGCCATTGCCTGGTTTGCCTCTGTGCTCATATGCTTGAAATATTTGCTTTTTGAATAAGTCAGTTTGAAAATCCATATGTTGACACATTCTTGAGAGCTAAGAATATACACTATACAGTGGAAAAGTTTGGGGTTTGAATAATTGTTTTATGCTTTTGAAAAAAGTCCCTTATGCTTATTATGGCTGCATTCATTTGATCAAAAATACACTAAAAGTAAAAGAGACATATTATTACAATTAAAATAATAAAAATGATTGTTTTCTTTTTTAATATATAATTTGGTAACACTTTAGTTTAGGGTCCAATCCTCACTATTAACTACAGTAGTTGCTTAGCATGCATATTAGTAGGATATTGGCTGATTTTTATCACGTATAAAGCACATAAAATTAGTTCTACCCAATTCCTAAACTTAACAACTATCCAACTATTAATAAGCAGTTATTAGGAGTTTATTGAGATGAAAGTCGTAGTTAATATTGAGTTAATAGTGAGATTTGGACCCTAAACTAAAGTGTGGGTAAAGTACACATTTTTTTAACAGCAGTGTGTATACTGAGATCAGGCTTTGCCATACATTTAAAGGGTTAGTTCACCCAAAAATGAAAATTATGTCATTAATGACTCACCCTCATGTCGTTCCAAGCCCGTAAGACCTCCGTTCATCTTCGGAACACAGTTTAAGATATTTTAGATTTAGTCCGAGAGTTTTCTGTCCCTCCATTGAAAATGTATGTACGGTATACTGTCCTTGTCCAGAAAGGAAATAAAGACATCATCAAAGTAATCCATGTGACATCAGTGGGTTAGTTAGAATTTTTTGAAGCATCGGAAATACATTTTGGTCCAAAAATAACAAAAACTACGACTTTATTCAGCATTGTATTCTCTACCGGTTCTGTTTTCAATCCGCGTTCACGAGTCCACAGTGACGCTGCTGACGTGTTATCTGGTGTGTCTGTGTATTCGGCTTCAAATAAATATGGCTGGGCAAAAAAATCTTCCTCTGTGTCGAAATCCTTAGACATGTTTGCGAAGATTGTTTTGTTTACAGCGTGCGTCTCCCTCAGACTGTAAACGAAGCTCGGGCGCACCAGAGAACACGTCAGCAGCGTCTTATGTCACCAGTGTCACTGAACGCGGCTCGACAACAGAACCGGAAGAGAATACAATGCTGAATAAAGTCGTAGTTTTTGTTATTTTTGGACCAAAATGTATTTTCGATGCTTCAAAAAATTCTAACTAACCCACTGATGTCACATGGACTACTTTGATGATGTATTTATTTCCTTTCTGAACAAGGACAGTATACCGTACATATATTTTCAATGGAGGGACAGAGAACTCTCTGACTAAATCTAAAATATCTTAAACTGTGTTCCGAAGAGGGTGAGTCGTTAATGACATAATTTTCATTTTTGGGTGAACTAACCCTTTAAACCAAGACATCAATGTTTAAGAAAAATAGGACCATAAAATATTTATTACACTGGTAGATTGTTCTTCAATCTATACATAAAGGGGTAAATTAAGAACCTCCATGACCCACATTTTCCATGTTGTTTATTTCAGGACTGTAAAGGATGAAATTTGTCTATAGCACTGAGCTTGGCATTTTTGTACAAATCAACTAACTCTAAATGGCTCATTCTGAACCCCACTAGTACAGAGGAAATTATTAAAGGGCACTTGACCTAAACAACAGAGCTCAACAGCCTCCATCAGTCTGAAGATGACTAAAACCAGATGGATGGCTCAGAGCTTAAGACAAACTTTATAGAAGTTCATTTGGTATGATTCTGGTTAACCAGAGTATTAAAAGTGCTTTGTATAATATAGGATATGTTCATTTATAGGTTTTTCTTTGGTAGAAGGGATTTTTTCCCCCTGCATAATTACCACACATTTTTGAGACTTGGAATCTGAAATGAATCACTGGAATGTTCTTATGATAAATATATAATTTCATTTTATTTATTCTTTATTTAATGGAAATTAAGATGCTAAATTATCAATCACTTCACTTAAAATTACTTGTCCTCGTAACTTCATACAGATTGTATTATTAATACTAAGAAAAAATTATATATATACCTCTTTTATAAGGTTTTACAGCAGTGCCCCTACTTTTGTCAACATTGTCAGTTATTTATGAAAAAAAAGAAAAATCAGGCAAAATCCATGTTTTTATATTCATCATAAATCATTTTTCATATGCTATTAGGTCACACAGTATCTGATAATTTCCATAGTGTTTTATTATTATTATTTCTTTTTTTATTAAATGTTTCGGTAATCAGTGATCAAAGTAATTGCGTTTATATTTAGTACCAGAAAATGTAAATAATTTAAATTG